TATACTCATAAAAACAACATGGTACTGGGACAAAAGTAGACCCGCAGATTAATGGAACAAAATTGAAGACCCAAATATGAGTACATGCAATTTCAGCCACCTGATATTTGACAAAGGGGCAAAGAACATTCACTGGAGGAAAGACACCATGTTCAGCAAATGGTGCTGACAAAACTGGATCTCCACCTGTAAAAGAATGAAACTAAACCCCTATCTTTCACCTTGTATAAAAGTCCGCTCCAAATGGATCAAAGACCTCAATGTGAAGCCTGAAACTCTGAAACTGTAAGAAGAAAACACTGGGAAAAACCTATAAGATATAGGTGTAGGAAAGGATTTCAATTGCTCAGGAAACAAGGTCAAGAATCAACAAATGGGACTTCATTAAACTTAAAAGCTTCTGTACATCAAAGATGCAACCAAGAAGTGAAGAGCAAACCCACAGAGTCTGAGAAAATCTTCACCGACATATCTGACAGAGGTTTAATATCCAGCATATACAACAAACTAAAAAACAAAGAATCAAGAAAGGAAGTAACCCAATTAAAACATGGACTAAGGAGCTGAACAGAGAGTTCTCAAAAGAATAAAAAAAGATGGCTAAGAAGCATCTTGAAAGGTGTTCAACATCACTAATAATTAGGGAAATGCAAATGAAAACCACTTTACGATTATACCCTAGTCAGCCTGGCTAAGATCAAGAGAACAAATGATACCAAATGTTGGAGAGGACCTGGGGAAAGAGGAACACTCAGCCATTGCTGGTGGGATTGGAAACTTGTACAACCCATATGGAAAGCAGTGTGGAGAACTCTTAAAAAATGACAAATGAACCTACCATTTGACCCAGTTATACCACTCCTTGGCATATACCGAAAGAACTCATCCTATTGCAGAGACACCTGTACATCCATGTTTGTTGCTGCTCTTTTCACAATAGCTAAGAGATGGATGCAACCTAAGTGTCCCTCAATTGACTAGTGGATAATGAAAATGTGGTTCCTTTATACAATGGAGTTTTACTCAGCAGTAAAGAAAGATGAAATCATGAAATTTGCAGGTAAATGGATGGAACTAGAAACTGTTATACTAAGTGAAGTAACACAATCTCAGAAAAAAACTCGACATATGTTCTCCCTCATATGTGGATCCTAGCACCAAATCCTGATAAGTGAGTATGTATCTAGACATAACAACAAGTAATGAAAAGGAACCAGGGAAGTAAAGGAAAAGAAAGAATCTGAAAGAGAACTGTAGGAAACAGGTATTAATAAGGGAGATATGGATAAAAATGGGGTTATGTTAAGGGTGGGGTTATACAAAGGTTAAGGTTATACAAAGAACCTAGGGAATAAAAGGAAAGAAGGAGCTCCAGAGATGTGGGACCAAAGGAAACAGGTATTAAGGGGGAAATGGGGAAAATGGGGGTACTTTATATGGAGAAACCATAGTAGAAGGTTTAGACAATGCAAGAGATAAATAATGCCTAGCTGGTTTTTAAAAAAAATCAGAGGGAACCATATTAATTGAACAACCTACTGACAAATTATACTAGCTCAAGAAATATAATGTGTATCTAGGCAAGGTTTATCTGAAAACGTTTGGTCTTTGCCCAAGCCTTATCTACATGGCACATGGTAATTAAAAATACCAGACTGGTGGAACTAACCTTCTTGGATGTTTAACAGCCATACTTTGAGGCCTATATTACTTTGATCAGGAGGACATAAAGGACAGTTTTTGCTCCTTGCCCTCATAGGTCAACTAAGTTCCAGGGGACTATGAGCATCTCTCCAAAGGTCCTGTAACTGCCGTTGAGTCACCTGTCCTCTTGATCAAGGAGGCCATGGAGACCCCATCAAATGGACTTGAACCATGTCCAGTCTAAAAAGAGGAGGGTCAACACAGAGGAAACATTTCCTCCATGCTTCCAAGTGAAGCCGGCCATGGTCGAGCAGGACCAAGCCCATGTGACCCCTGAGGAACAGATCCTCAAACAGCCTTAAGAGTAAAAATAAATTGGTTTATCTGGGCCAACTGTATGGTCTTAAACACGCAAAAAGAAAGTGTAACCAAAGATTAAAGGTATCAATATAATTTTTTAAGAGTCCATGTGTATAGCTAAAGACTACATAACAAGAAACAATGCCAGCAGGAAATACCTTCCTTTGAGTTTTTGGCCAGGGTGGCCCAAGAGACTCCCAGAGAGTAAGCCAGCATAGAACTGGGAAAATGAACAGCAGACCGCAATCTCTTCTAAAGGACTACTGACAATTGATTGCTGCTAGATGAGGAATGGCTGATCTTCCTAAAATAAGGAACTCTAGATAAGCTGACTAAATTCAGCGATGGACAAGCACTGGGGAATGTCTGGGGATGCTGACAACACAGTGGACAGTAACAGGGATGACAAAGTATATGTGCTCCAGTGGCGAGGGGTGGCAGAGCTATGGGAGGGTGCCATTTGGGAAATGGGTATACAGATGAATAAGATTGTTTGGGATGTTCTGTATGATATACACAGAAAAAAATCAACAAATAAAAAAAAATGAGTTATATTTGAGGAAGAAGCACAAAAATTTGCTTCATGTTCATCAATAGAGATGAAAAACATTATCATTGAAATCTACCTGATGACTTTATAACCATACTCAGGTGCCAAGGATCCATCTGAGTGTAACCAACTGTGACTAGTAATAATCAGATATACAGAGATTAGAGACTCATGTGCAAACATCTAAGTGTTAGTAGCATTAAATATGAGTTTTTCTGTAGGAAAGAGTATATTTTAAAATGGAGATCTTTTTTAAAGGTTAAAACCTCATTCAATTTTATGTCTTACAGGGTTTATACTGAGTTCAATGTTGTATAACTGTATTAATTCAACTGTGAACCTAAATATTTACAGCCACTTTTGAAAGAGATGTATCTTTGTTCTGGAAATTGCTATTGAATATGTTAAAGCTGTAATGAAATGCTTCTTCTAATCATGTGGTTATTAAATAAATAATTTTTTTTAATGCTTAATATCTGGGAAATGGGTGTAAAAAATTTTTTTTACCTGATGACTTTATATTCATGCTCAGATGCCAAGGAGCTCAGAAAGTAACCGACTGTGACTAGTAATAATCAGATATATAGAGATTAGAAACACATGCGCAAACATCTTAATGTCAATTGCATTGAAAATGAATTTTTCTGTATGAAACTGTGTATTTTAATAATAAAATGGAGATCTTTAAAAAATGCTTAATAAAAAATTACTGTAAAGAATTAAGTTCTGGGCTGGACAGATGGCTCAGTGGTTAAGAGCACTGACTGCTCTTGCAGAGGACCCAGGCTCGATTCCCCACACCCACATGGTGGCTACCAACCATCCTTAACTCCAATTCCAGGGGATCTGAAGCCCTCTTCTGATCTCCGTGGCATTTTGCAACATGGGTGCACTCACATACATGCAGGCAATACACTCATATACATAAAATAAAAATAATAAATATTTAAAAAACTGAAATTCTAAATGTGCTACATTATTAACTTATTTTATTCTAACCAAAAAACTCACGAAGTAGTATTATCCCCATTTTACAGATGAAGAATCTGATGCATAATGGTTAGTAACCTGTCTAATGTTACACAACTAAGATCTATATCTGAAGTTCACAATAAAAGCTAAGAGATACTTGAAACAACAACAACAACAAAAATAGTATGTTAATGATGTTGGCCCTAGGAAAAAAATTCAACTCATAAAATTCATCCCTAGACATTTAACTAATAAAGTAGTCAAAGATCTGCTAAATCCGTAACTGCCATGTTTGGGACTTCCCATAAAATTTACAGTGTAATTTACAAGTGAAAGAGATTAAAATCTGCTACACAACTACTAGATTTGTCATTTTAAAACTTTTATGAGGAAAAAAACAGGACATTTTAAAGCTGGCTATCTGAGCTGAAGTAGAAACAAAAGAACAAAAGGTTCTTAATGAAGAACCTGAACTGCAGTCTAGACAGCTACAGGAACTCTGACAGTCTCCTGCAGGCAAAAGAGTTTCTGAATTGGCAGTTAGAGAAATGAACTAGCCAGTAAATATCAGAAGCTCGTACTCAAGGAAAATGTCATTTAAATTTCAAGGAAATATGTTCCTTGAATCTTAATTCTAAGCTTTAAATAAAGAAGAAAACTTGGAAAGGTTAAAATACTACATCAAAGGCTATAATAAAGGATATAAAATTAGAGGTATAAAGGCCATTCTTTGTTATTAAAGAAAATGCTGTTGATAATGTCTCTCATTCAACAATGATGGGGAACTTACACAGGACTTTATAGGTTTTTCCCCGAATAGTATCCTTCTGATCACTGAAGTTCATTATAAACTATAACAATTAATAAATCTTATCTTCCCTACATAAAACCTTGACTTATTTGAAGATCTTTGACAATACCAACAAATTAGATCTGTTCAATTTTATTCTTGTTCTATGCAGCTTACTGAGTTAAATGAAAAATAAAAGTTAATCTGTTCTTTTCAGACCATGGAGATAAACAGCATCAGCTGGGTAGATTGTTGGTATTTGCTATTTGGACTTTCCTATGTGTAATTCCAGTGAAAACTACTCATGAGTAGTGCAGCTCTTAATCTTTCAAGCTCTTTTTCAATATCCTAACAAATTTTGTAAGCAGAATTGGCCACAAGCAGACCAACTTCAACCATTTCAACAAAGAAGAAAAGAGGAGCTATAAAGTAGGCTCAGTAGTTAAGAACACTTGCTCCCTTGTAGAAGACCCAGGTTCAGGTCTCAGCAGACAGCACAGTGGCTCACAACTGTCTTCTAACTCCAGTTCCAAGAGATCTGATGCCCTCTTCTGGCTTCCACAGGTACACACACATGGCGTACATACATACATGTAGGTAAAACCCTTATATACATAATAATAAAAATAAAATCTTAGAAAAAAAAGACAGAAAGACAGAGAAAACCTTAAGGATATAACATACCTGTCTTTCCAAGTCTTGTCCTGTTATTCCAGCCTCTACATGAGCTGTCAGATTATTCTCATCAATCCAGAGAATTCGATTCTGTTACAAAGGAAAAGAGATCTCTTTACTATGAACTATTTACATTTTTTTAGGAAACGTATAACTTTCTAATTCAAAGCTTAAGTGACAAGGCAGTAATCAGGAAGGAGGAAAATGAGCCCCACTTACCCTTACTATATAACATAACATAAGAACAAGAGCAGTATATTATGCAGAGGTTGGTTAGAAACATACACACCATCTTTATGCACACGTGAATTTCATTTAAATGCCACCCTGCTTAGGAAAATTACTGTCTAGTCCTTAGTGTTTCCTCATTTGTAAATGTAGACAGTAAAAGCACATACTAAGAGGGCTGCTATAAGGAAAAAATAAGATACTCCACACAAAAAACTTAGCATATATGAGGCATTTATTTGCACTAGCTTAGTAATCATATCTAAGAATCAGAAATTACAATAGGAAAAAAACCTGCTAAGGCATTTATATATAGTACATGATATCTCTGCATGTATATGTGCATGCTCAAAAATAAATCTGAAATAGGATAAGAAACACCATGGAGAAAACAAAATACATCCCCGCTGTGTACAAAAGGAGGAAATTAGCCAGGCATGGTGGTGCACACCTGTATTTCCAGTACTTGGGGGGTAGAGGCAGGAGAACAAGGTCAACAGTAGTTCAAGGTCAATTCCAGCTACACAGTACATTTGAGGCCAAGTGGGGCCACATGAGATCCGGATCCCGTTTCATAAAATCAGAGTTGAATGCTACTGCACACCTCAACTTACCAAATGACTGCCAAATAAGAAACTGTTTTTCTGGGGTTGGAGAGATGGCTCAGTGCAATAGGCTACTTTTAAACCATCTTGAATAAACTGCTTTTTTTTAGGATTTACATTTATTTATTTATTTAATTTATTTAGTGTCTCTCTCTCTCTCGGGGGGGGGGGTGCATGCCACATGTTTGAGGGTGCCCTCAGAGACCAGAAGATGGCTTTGGATCCACAGGGGTTACAGGTGGTTGTGAGCCACCATACATGGGTGCTGGGAACTGAACTAAGGTTCTCTGCATGAGCAATATGCACTCTTAACTGCTGGGCCATCTCTGCAGTCTCAAAACTGCCATTTCTTAAACTCCAGAATAAAGAAAAAGATGGACAAGAAATATTATGGTACAACAGTCAGGCAGTTACTATTTGAACTTGATAGGTTTAGCATAATTAAAATGGAATAACCAACTGTTATACATTACCTCTCCTAATATTATATGACACTAAAAAGTATAATACAGGGCTAGAGAGATGTCTCAGTGGTTAGGAGCCCAAGAACCTGTGGCTAGATAGGTCATCAGCTCTAGGGGAGAACCAACAACTAATATTCTACTAAGTGGACATACTATTAAGATAACTTATAATGACTTACTACTGCTATACCCATAGTTTAGTGCATTTCCAACCCTCATCAGAGAACCTTCCTTTTGCAGTAGAAAGTGATTAACACAGAGACCCACAACTGGTCAACATGCAGAGAATAAGAGACTACAAAGTGCTCAACCCTAAATGGGACATCATTATCACACCCTCCCCCCACAGCTCAGGGAGCTTCAAAAGAGAAGGTAGAAAGACTGTCCAAGCCAGGGGTGGTGGATGACTACATGGAAAGTGTTTTCCAGACAGCAGGGCAACTGTACAGATGAACTCACAGCACTTATGACAGCATATAAAATACTTGCTCAAACGCAAGCCAAACAAAAATCCTATCAGAGAGGGAAGGTGAACATGCACTCTGATTCCCCAGCTAAGGAGCTACTGGCAATTTGACAGGTGCCGGGCAAGAACAGTTAGTTTTCTTTAAGGGTGTGACTGTTGGTAGGTTGACAATCCAGGGCTGGTTACATACTCAAGAGTATCTCAGCAACACAAAGTTGACTAGATGGGGAAAAAATAAATAAAAAGAAGATGAAGATGGGGAGGCAGGGAAGTGGGGATGCAGTATGATCAAAAAGCACTGCATGAAACTCTCAAAGAATTGAGAGAGTGAGAGTTGAGAGAGAGAGAGAGAGAGAGAGAGAGAGAGAGAGAGAAATCACCAAAAGCTAACAAGGCCCTTTACTAGATCTCCATTTAAAGTAATCAATTATCAGAAAGATAAGAAAGATACTTTTGAGACTTTCTTAAAAACGGGTGTGGACCATATAAATAAATGTTAAGAAATTGCTTTTGATTTTATAGGAGTAATAACAACATAGTAGTTATATGAGAAAATGACCTTTTTTGTAAAAGAGATGAAATAGGTATAAAGCAGAATATCCATATGTGTTTCAAAAAGAACTAGAAAAGAAAAGAAAGAAATCAAGTATAACAAAATATTAATAACTATTCAATTGGGACAATAGGTATACTTTTAACTCTACTGTTGAAAAATATTCAAATTAAAAAGTCAAAATAAAGTTGCTACATAGGAGTACTAAGTCCAACTTTTGAACCTTATTAAAATTAGCTCTGCTGTTCATCCCCAAGCAAATATGCACCAGTATTAATTTAAATCTAGGAGGCAAATAAGTTTGTATTATACAAATTAATCATAATTAATAGTATCCATTTATTTGAAATAAAAAAAATCAAGTTACCTAATATTTCAATCTTCAAATTCATACTTCTCAAATAATCAATTTCATATACTAATTTGGTAGTACAGTATCAAGATATATGTACCATGGAGACTGGAGAGATGGCTCAGCAGTTAAAAACACTGGCTGCTCTTGCAGAGGACCTGGTTCGAGTCCTAGAACCCACATGGCAGAACAACTGTACATAACTCCAGTTCCAGGGGACTCCAACGCCCTCTTCTGACCCCCATAGATATTGCACAACATGGGTGCACTTACACATGTGCAGGCAATGCACTTATACATAATAAAATAATAAATAAAAGTTTTTTAAAAAGATATGTACCATAGCATAAGTGAACTTAACTTGAATACCTGAACAATAAGCTAAAATATAATCCTGAAATAAATTTGAAAAAACTGGACAGCAGATCCATTTTCAGTAACAGCTGATGCAGAGCCATAAAGGCAATGTTTTAAATGGAAACCAACTTCAAACACATCTTAGATAGAATATCATATACCATTTGTGAAGTATCCAAAGAAATGATTGTTCTTTTTTCATCTGCAGGACACATCAAGCCATATGAAACACTTGTTCCTCCTGCCAAAATAGGAAACAACAGTTTTACACTTAAATATTTTACTTCAGCTATATTTCTAGGACAAATCCCTAATACACAGAATACAAACAGACCTGCTAGCAATGAAACCTAGTTCCACTTTGAAAAAGCTAACACACTAAAAACAAACTCACCTTTGTTTTATGTGAATGTCAAAATGAAGACTATTATAGAACTGAAAGTAATGGGATATGACTCCGTCCCCTGGACATGACACACTCATGTAAAGCCCCTAGCAATTTGTAGAACTCCAAAAACATAATTAGAAAAGTTCTAAGCTAATGATCACTATGGAGATGTAGCTTAAAAGAAAAGACATTCCTAAACACTAGAGACACCATTAACTCCTTACTACCATAATTACATACTTGTTTATTAAAATAACAGACTTATACAAAAGGCTTTAATAAATTAGAAGAAAAACATGAGTTACATGTCAAGATTATATGATATTTAAAAACAGATGTACATATGATTTGGTGGGAAAGTGAGGATAATAAAATAGGATAAGTAATACATAGAAGTATTTAAATAATGCATTCTGATTTCCTCTTAACATTTGTTGTCAAAAGAAATCAATGAAGAATAATACAGTATTTCAAGTTTTTTTAAATTTTTTAAAAATTATTTATTTAATAACCACATACTTAGAAGCATTTCATTACAACAGCATTGACATATTCAATAACAATTTCCAGAGCTAAGATGCATCTCTTTCAAAACTGTAAATTTTTAGGTTTACAGTTGAATTGATACAGTTATACACTATTGGACTCCATATAACCCCTATAAGGCATAAAATTAAATGAGGTTTTAAACTTTTAAAAAGATCTACATTTCATTATTAAAATAGTTTCATATAGAAAAATTCATTTTTAATACAATTGATAGATGTTTGCACATGCGTTTCTAATCTCCATATATCTGATTATTACTAGTCATAGTAGGTTACTTTTTGAGCTCCTTGGCATTTAAGCATGGTTATAAAGTTGTCAGGTAGATTTCAATGGTAATGTTTTTCACATCTACTAATTATTATGAAGCAAAATTTTATGCTTCTTCAAATAAATACAAAAAAATTGTATTTTTGTGTGTATTTCATACAGAAAATCCGAAACTATCTTATTCATCTATATACTCACATTCAAAGTAACACCCTCCCATCTCCCCACCC